AGTCGATTTCGAACACGAGCCGAGTTTGAACACGAGCTATTTCGAACGAGCCGAACACGAGCCAAGCCTGAGCTCACTCAAGCTCGGCTCGTTTACAGCCCTAGTTCTTTCTATCCTATTCTTGTTTTCTTATATGGTATCAGAGCAGCCATCATTTGCTGCTTGATCTTCATCCATGGAGTCTTCTTCCTCCACCATCCCCCAACTCATCAACTCTTCGCAAGAATCACTTAACAGAATGAAAGACATTCAAATACCTCCCCCATTAAAATTTCAGATGCAGCATGTAAAGGGTACAGCTTCTTCTCCTCATGACTAGGCCGTCTGGAAAGTGCAAATATAGAAGTTGTTTCTTGCCAAAGAGTTCAATTCATTTCTTGATAATAACGTTCTTCTCCCACCACAATTTATTGAAGATTCCAATGATAATCCTATTGAAAACTCATGTTATCATCTTTGGAAGCTTACTCATCAAAAGCTTATTGTTGCCCTTCTTTCTACAATCTCACCATCTATTTTATCTTATGTGCTTCTTCTAAATAAGATCATTGACATTCGGAATACCCTCGAAAGGCGTTTTCAATTGTTGAATCGTTCACGAGTTATTCAACTCAAGAGCAAATTACATAATATTTGAATGGAAAATCAAACTATGAATCAATATCTTACATATATCAAGAACCTTGTAGATAGCATCACTATTTTCGATTAAAAAATTGATAATGAAGATATTATTTTATATATTTTAAATGGTCTTCCCTCCCCCTTACAAAGGCTTCAAAGCTGCCATTTGAACTCTGACAACCCATCTTTCTCTTGAAGATTTTTATTTTCTACTTCAAATCGAAGAAATTCACATTGCCAATGAATCTTTGAAACATACTCAGAAAACGACACTTTTGTTTTTCAAGAAAAAAAAAATTATAATTTAAATCAACAACACCAGGCAAGATGCACAATTCAAATAAAAGTAACACACTGACCAACATCGCACAACCCAAAATCATCATTGTTTGCCAAATTTGTCATAATAAAGGGCATGTCGCTGATCAATCATCATTGTTTGCCAAATTTGTCATAATAAAGGACATGTTGCTGATCAATGTTGGCACTGTGCCAATCTTCATCATAAGCCCCCATCTACAATAGCATTTCACACTACCAGCAAGCCCAAGAATCAAGCTTGGATTCTTGACACTAGAGCTACATCCCACATCACCCTGCATTTGGAAAATATCTAGCAACCAAAACCTTATAATGTCTCTAAACACGTAATGGTAGGGAATGGACAAGCCAACGACATTTCTCACGTTGGCAACGACCTCCTCTCTACGTCTGATTGTAAATTTCTTTTATCTTCTATTCTTCAAATACCACTTATTACTCACAAACTGTTATCTATTTCTAAACTTGTACATGACAAAAACTGCTCTATTACTTTTAACCCTAATAGTTTTCTGATATAGGACCAAATCATCAAGCAACTACTTCTTAGTGGTCCAGCTCATAATGGTTTATAACCCGTAGCAACTCTCAAAGCTACTTTCTCCTTTGAAACTTGGCATAATATGTTTGTTCACCCCCACTCTCAAGGTTTGTGTACCTGTCGGGTTTTATTTTTGCTCTGATATGGAGCTTCTGAATGCAATGTGGAATTGAAGCTTTGGGTTGGTCAACTAATCAAGCACATCATCAGAAGTAGTAAACCACCTCGAAAAATAGAAATACAACTTTTACGATGGGTTTGATTATTCAAACTAAGAAAACATTGGATATCTGCACAAGTTTATAATTAAACCCCATGGATCATTTCATCGATCTAATCTGAAGACTAAATAGGGTTTAGATTAATTATAGGCCCTTTTCTTTTTATAAGTGCAAACCCCTATAGTTAATTTTATCTTAAACAACCAAATTTACTTAAGAAAACTATCGATTAAGGCCATGGGTTTGTCCTCAAGGAGTTTCAAAGTTTAGACTTCCACGATTGGATATTGAATTTTCAAATGAGAAACGCTAAAAAGTTGAACAATTATTAACGAAAGCCAAAGGAAGAAGGGGTAGGGGACACTTGGAGATAATGTGGCAGCCTCAATAGTATCACAAACTATCTTATTATTTGACATTTGACATTTTTGAAGAAAAAATTAATGTTTTATCCCGATGTTTTGTTAGGATGTTAGGACTTATATTGCATGAAATACAATCATGCATGAGCATAAAGATAAGGATTTACATCTTGACTAGACTTCTAACTTTTCCTGAAAATGGTTGCCATCTAAACCACATAATCTCATTCAAAACCATGCATGGTCGGTCTCGATAATGCAAAATAGAGTAGGTTGTTATTTATTAGGAATAATAGGTCTTACGACTTGATTACAAATCAAGTTGCCTAAGTATGATATCCATAATGTCCTAAGACTAATGCGAACATAGTTCAAAATTTAAAATTTAAATTTTGTATGCCTCACCACACTCAAATGTTTAGTGTTAATTAATGTTGAGTGCATCAAAACAAGCTATGTAATGGGTTATGCAAGTCCTTGATGATGAAGCATAGGAGATCTGTTCAAAAGACCAATCGATATGCATAAAGAGAACTCACTCTGTAAGGTAGTGATTGTCACAAGTCAAACCACAACTTTTTGTGCAATGAGTGAGGGCCCGAAGACAAGGAACATGAGCAATATGATATGCATATTTCTACAGATTATGTTATCATTCATTATCCTATCAAAAAGAATTTATACCGAGCTTTATTTAATGTTAATCGAGGCTGTTTAGATATATGAGGTTTATATAGTTGTGAATGCAATGATTTATGTAATTTTGTTTTGGTCATGAGTTTTATTTTGAAAAGTGAAGCTGAAGTTGTTTAGGTTGGGTTAGAGGGTTTAGTTCTTGAGTGAGCCTATCGATGATCCAAGAAAAAAACATAAATGTAATTATCGGCCTATGATTTGTGCAGACATATCGAGTGAAGACAAACTGACGGTATGGGTGCCAACCATAACTTATGTCAAACTCGTCAACTAACATCATCCAAACTAACGCTAATGGTTTAGTTAAGGTTCATCCTTCGCTTCGTGTTTCATCTTCTTTCGATTAGTTTAAATGTTTATAGTCAATTGACAATAACATGCCTAACTCTATGAAAGAAAAGATGACTGAAAGAAAAGTTCCTAGGTTACTACAACAACTTATTTATTTATAGCAACCATCCAAAATAGAGTTAGCACACTCTAATAACATGTAAAGTAAATCTAAGATGACAATTTGTATATTATCTTTAGTAGTCCTACAAAACAAAGTTAGAATGTTTCATTTTAATATAAGAGAAATGCATGTGTTTACTTTGATTATTAATACGTTAATTTTTTTTTTATTTAGGACGACCCAGCCAAGATACCCATGGCTTTCCATAGTCTCAGGGTTGTCAATTTCCCTGATCTACTTAGTCTAGAGAGTGTTGACCTCATTTTTGATGAGGTCTGCTTCCCTCTCTAGAGCCTACAATCAAGCCATATGACTTCTCTACTGACTCTCATAGAGGACTAGTGTTGCCATTTAGAAAAATTCAAATCACATCTTGGCTCTTTTTAATCTCATATGTGTGGTTTCAAATCCTCAACATTTAGTTGAGTTAAATGGAACGAACATATTAAAACTTAAGTTAAGTTCCTATAAGGGTTGGAAATGCCTTAAGGAGAGCCTTTGAATTTTAGGGGTTTTAATTCCTTGAAACACCACACACATACCCCATACACATGTACATCACCACCGCAATCCACCCACAAACCACATGCACATGCACATCACCACTACAATTCACACAGATGCACACTCACACCACACTTACACACAATCCAAAAAAAAAAAAAATTGAAATCAAATTTCCAAAGAATTTTCATAAATCAAAAATTGAAAGCCCAAAATCAATCCATCATGATAAAATTCAAAAACCCATTACCATGACTAAAAAAAACACAAATCCACTAAAACGAAGGCCCACCCAAAAAAAAAAAACAAAACAAATTAAATTAAATAAAAGGGCCCTCATTACATTAATCAAGCACCATGTCATTAAAATTCAATCAAGACCAATGTGTGATGTGTCTTAATCAAAATGCCTAAATTGAGGCCCATGAAAAAGTCACCTAAAGATCACCAAAATTCTTTCTCATGACAAACCATTCAAGTCACCATGCCACTTATAGCTAAAAGAAACCACTCATTTAAATTTGCAAAAAAGGTGATTTCCCACTCTAATTACTCACCTAAGCCCAAGACTAGCCTAAACCCCCATGATTAGGACTTGTCCACCCAAGCCCCAATGCTAAGCACCAAGTCCAACCTTCATGATGGAGCTCACTTGCATGACTTGGACCAAAAGCACAAAAATCAACTTACCAAACCCATATGCCCATGAATCACCTCCATTGGCTTCACTACTCTCCACCGCTGATTACCACCAGCAAGATAATGACTGTCCAAGCTCTTGCCAGCAACCATTGCCAGCGGCGAAACCAAAACCGAGAGCCATCCATGGAATGAAAGCCCAAAATTGAGCCCATCCTACTTGGCTCACCCTCACTGGCTTAACTCCTCTGCCAAAGCTCCACCTAAGCAAACTTTTGAAGCCTTAGGCCAACCAATTGGAGTTCTACTTCTCTCTCATAACTGAGCCTACAATAAGGCATGCCAAAATAATCTCAAAAACTCTCACAACCACAAGTGGGGCCACCTTTTGTATTTATATATTTAACACCTAAACTTAAGTTTTTATTTTTTACATGCATATCACCTTACTTATTCATAAAAAATGTATTTCAATTATTAAAATGATAATATTTTTTTTTTATGTTAGGAAAGATTTAGGTGTTATAAATTTTTTTTTTTAAAAAAATTCAGATATGTAAGTACATGATAATTGAGTGGTCCCAAAAAAGACCACATTTTTATCGTGAGTTTGATGATAGCATTTTAAATTGTCAACTTGCTAATCCTCGACTCTCTCGATATCCATTTTTTATGCAATATCCACTAGCGAGTGGCGAGAAAGCTATGCTTTCTCTGCCGCGGCTCATCTCTTCTCCACTCCTTGCTCCCGTGTTGCTTCGTCGCCCTTCGACCCGTCATCAGGCCAGTTCGAAAAATGCTATTTTGATGCCGGGATCGAGAGCCCGCCGGTTGGTTGTTCGAATGAGGGTTTCCGATCGTGAAAATGTGGTGGAGATGGCCGGAATCGATCGTTTTGAGATAGGCGGTGTGGTGGAAGACAGTGATCCTGGGACAGCGGAGACGATTTTGAGGAGGGAGGGGGTATCGGCCAATCTCGAGGCCACTCTGAATCGATCGGTACTTTTTTTTTCTTTTGTTGGAGTTTGTTCTAATTCAATATTTTTTTTCTTCTTGCAACATTTGATCGAATTTGATGGCTTTTTGTTGAAAGAATTAGGTTGAAATAGGGATTTGTATTTGGAATGTAAAATTGAGGTTGAATGTGATATTCTGCTGGTTGAAAATAAGTTAAAATTGAAGCTTGGGTAGAATTTAGCCCAAAAGTTTGCAAAGTATCTGAAACAAATCAATGAAGTTACAAATTTTCACAGTTTTTCCTTTACTACATTATTGAATTTTGGATTTCATGGATGGCTTCATGAACAATTAAAGAGTGTGAGATGCACTTAATAAATTGTTTTCATAGATAAATTAATAACTTTGTAAAGTTGAAGTTATTAGTCATATCAATATTAGTACTAATTTTTTCTTTGTTATTCCATCACATAAGTTTATAGAATGAAAGACAAATTGATGTAATGTCTACAAGTTTCTGGTTTTGTCTCTGATTAAAAGATGAAGAATAGGTACAAAAATCTTTATTTCAAACTTGATGAGAAAATATATTGAAATGATTCTTTTAATTGAGGAACACAAAAATGTGAACTCTTTTCACAAGAGCTTAAAAGTTGAGCACAAAATATGTAGGGGCTATTTGTTTTAAACTCTTTTTTTTTTTTGTAATTTTATGTCATTTAGAATGATTTAGTCTAAAGAATATTAGTAACCAAGATTGGGAAAATCTAAATGTCAACCAAATTAAATGCAACTTAGATCACCTCAATCTTAATGGCTTAAAAAAGAAGACAAAAAAGGTGTTAATTTACCATTAATTATTTTAAATAGCATTTCATTTTTTTAAAGATGGCCTTTTACCAAACACATTGAGTTAAAAATATAAAAGTGTTATTTGAATAGCATTATTATCTAGACAATAATATTGCATACATAACATTGAACCAAGTAGACCCGTCATTAATATGCAACCAACTTACTGTAGTGGTCAGGTGCTTTGTCTTCAACCATAAGGTCTTGAGTTCAAGACTTAGCACATATGAGTCTATACATAATTAAAACAAAGAAGGAAACACTTCATTAACAATATCTTCTACCATCTCCTTCAAGAAGATGAACAATCTTGTCTTTGGGTTACAAAATTAAGAGATGAAATTAACCAGGAAAAAATTTTGTAGCAATAGAGCATACCATGTCCATTCATCATCAAATGGAGAATCTTAAAAATATCATACTTCATAAACATTTTTTAGGTTAGCGAGATTAGGTCAAGTTTGAAAGGATATAAGCTGCAATTCACATTAATATTCTTATTTTGTTACATAAGATCAAATGTTGGGCATGCCAAACTTTTGCAAAAAATAATTATTTTTCTAGGAAGCACAAGCAGAGGGTACAAGATTTAGTGTGTAAACTTGACCCTTTATACTAAATGGATAGGAAGAAGAAAATCTAATCAAAGAAGTAAAGTTAAAAATAGCGAATTAATTTTTTAAACAAAGCATCACCCAGTTGACTAATTAGCATAAATAAATGCAATAAATTCCAAAACATGAAAAAGATCTGCAAAATCTTTTGCAAAACCCAGAGAAGGAGACAAGTCTTCCAAAACTGTCAAATTTATTCTGGAATATGCAAATTAAATTGCAGACAAACAATGCTTAGATGCTTGGAAGTTGGAAAAATAAGCAATAAAGCAGAATCTGATATATAAATAGAAGAATGTCATGATCTATATGAGGAACCGAAAATTGATGATTTATGGGATTTATGATCAATGTCTTCTCCTATATTGCAAAACGAATCTATCCGTGGAAGGGTTGGTATAGCTCCAGGGGCAAACAAGATAAAGAGGAGACTTGTTTTTTTTTTTTTTTTGGGTCACATTAAGCTTCGACCATCGATGATCCGGTTAGGAGAGTAGATTTTCTAAATTCAACTCATGTTAAAAAAGGCTGAGGTAGACTTAAAAAGACTATGGCGTATTGAATAAAAAATGATCTTAATTGATTAGACTTAATAGGACACAATGGAGAAAAATGAATCATGTAGCCGACCCCACTTAATGGGATAAAGGCTTGTTGTTGTTCTCGTCCTCTTTTACGAAACAATCTTCTTGTAAAATAATCAAAGACTGTCACCTCTATCATAAAATGTTATCTTACCTTGCCAACAAAAAAAATTAATGAGCCATCAAATATTAACTTAATATAAGATAACATTACATGTGGGAACAGCAGTGGAGTGCATTTAGTTCTCAATTGAACTATTCAAGACATTTCCCATTTCTATATAAGGAAGCTTTAGTAAGTTTTAGTTGCCTCTGTTTTTGTAAATCATTAAATCTTTAACTTATTAAAATTCTATGCTATATATTGTCCAATATGTGCATTCTATGGGTTTCTTTGGTAATATTCTGTGCATTTTGCACATTTCAAAATTTTACATTCAATGTCTAATTTCTCATGGTTGCATGTACTTTCCATCGGTTTGTTTTTGGGGCATTTGCATACATACCACTTAATTCCTATGAATTTTTATATCTTACAGCTATATTTTGCTTTTTACATTTTATTCAACCAAATCTTTCATATCATTAGAAAAAATATCACCATTTTAACTTTAAAAAAGTTAAATACACCTTTTCATGCATAGATAAGGTGGTATGTATGTAACAATTGAACTTTAGGTGTTAGATATGTAAATACATAGGAATTGAGTTTTTTTTTTTTTTTGTAGATGCTTCACAAAATTGCTGCAAAGTAAATCCAACCATATAGACTGCTGTTATTTTGCAAGGTTCTAGGTTAATTTGCATCGATTTTAATTGGTGCCAGGTGGTTCTTCAACGAATTCTTTTCATACTTCTTTGGTTTACTACATCGTAAATATCTAAAGAAAATAAATTATGAAAAGTAGGGGATTTATTTATTTCATAAACTCTGAACTAATTTTTAAGATTTTATTTTACAAACATGTTTTTTCCCTGGCCAGAATAATTGGATTTTATTAGTTTTCCTATGTTTTTTTTCTGCATGGTTTTGTTCTAATGAGGTGTGTGGTATTTTAGTTTGCATCGGCAGATTTTGGCAGCTAGTTTTAGAGCAATGAGATCTATGTTTGGTGCATGAAATTTGGATAGATGCAACTAGGGCTGTGTATTATTTGGTCAAAATAAAAAAAATAGAACCGAACTGAACAAATTGGGTTGATTCGGTTCGGTTTCAAAATTTTATTTTGGTTTTTGAATTTCAAAACCTCAATATTTGGTTTTCGTTTTTTAGTTAGATTTTAATTCTCGTTTAATTGAACAGATTGAAAACCGAAAATTCGAAATTACATGTAGGATTAATGGAATTAAATCAATATTATACATGTATAATATGTAATTCTTGATGGTTGTTCATAACCAAAGTCCAACTAACATGATACTTAAATTCTTGAATATCTAATCTAGATCAAATCAATATCTGATTTTTATGTAAGACTTTAATCCAACATGATTCTGCGATTTATAAATTTCTAAACTTAACAATATGTTTAATCCTAATTCTGCAAGGAGGGCTGATTTGGATTTGACTAGCTTTGTTAGATTTGCTCATTTCAATGAGCTACTCTTGTCATGGAAACAAGGAACGTGCTTTTTTGTCAGATTTGGGTTGTTTGGGATCACTTTTTTTTTATTTGCTTTTATTTTGAAGGCATTGCTTTCAAAAAATGAATTTGCTTAATTTTAAAAACAAAAAAAATATTTAAACGTTGTTTTGATGTTTTTAAAAACAAACTAACCATGTTATAATATACTAAATATGTTTTATTTCAAGTAAAAAACATAATAAAATAAAATAAAAATAAAAATTAAATCTGAAAATTGATCTATGCATAATATAAAAATAATTTTGAACTAGACTTCCCCTTATTATCAGGCGGAACTAAAATTTGTTGTCTAATTATATTGTTCATTCTGATAAAAATGACTAATTAGGCTCTTTACTTTGTGTGATTTACCAGAGCAAGTGGCTTGTGGCTGCTCTTTTTGGTTTTGTCATTCTTTGGAAGCATGACGCTGAAGCTCTATGGGCTGCAATGGGATCGGTGCTGAATGCGTGGTTATCAACTGTACTAAAGCGGCTGTTGAACCAAGATAGGCCTTCTTCATTGAAGTCGGATCCTGGAATGCCTTCTTCACATGCCCAATCAATCTTTTATGCGGCGGTTTTTTCAGTTGCTTCTGGTAAGATTTACAGGCATACCACACAATTCTTATATATTTTATACATCTAACACCCGAAGTTTGATATTTACTCTTTTAGTTTCTTGGTGTCATAAACTTATGCATTAAAAGGTATATACTTTTAAAAAGATAGTGATGGTTGCATTTGTTTATGTAACATTAAAGATTTAGTTCGTATGCATGTAAATATGAATGTTTAGGTGTTAGATATGTAAATCCATAAGAATCGTGCGGTGTGTATGTAAATGCTTTTCATCATAGTGCTTTAACCTTTGGTTGTTAAGGCTTTTCAGCTGTCAATTAAAGAATTGTTAGTTTCTTTTGTGGATTGATCTAAATCTACGTCATCATCATCATTAGCCTTATCCTAAATATTGGAGATCCTCATTTTTCACTCATTCTCATTTAATGAAGCTTGATGTGTTCAATCTATTCTTCACAAATCAATGTTAACAACTATTTATTCAAATTTGGATTTACTAATTTGTTTTTTTAATTATTTGATATGAGTATGATTTACTCATTTGTTGGGCACATTTTCCACCTTTTTACATGATCAAACCATGAGGTTTCTTTTCATTAAGCTAAACTTTAATTGATGTCACTCGAATAGTTGTTCAATCATTTCTTAATTTTTTCAAATATTCATTTTAAAATTTCATTTTGTTAGGTTTAATGTAGATATTAATTATTACTTTATGGCCCGACGCTGAGATCCATCTATTAGCACCGACCTAAATGGTGGTTTTATAAAATTCATCTTTATAACACTACAAGAAAATTAGCCTTTTCAATACCAAAAAATTGGTATTTTTTAAAGTGTATGTTATCTGAACCACTAATATAAGGTTGCAAATATAAATAGCTAGCAAAACTAATTTTGACTTATTTAGCTACATTTTTTTGCACCAGTAAATGTGCAAGTTGTTAGAACTAGATGGTGAAGATATGTGCATTTTTGTGAAGACGATTTGAATTTTATTTTTTATGGGATGATAAGTTTTAGGAAAGTTTATAACAATTATAAAGGCTTTCATTTAAATGAGATTTGAGAGAAAATTTAGTATATTTTCTTAATTATGTGAGATATTTTAATTGTTTGAAAATAAATTTTAATTAAAAATAAAACGCTTATATTGCAAATTCTTGATTCATTATATGATTATAAGAGCAACATGTATCATGTTGCTTTCAAAACACAAACTTAATTTCAAATCTCATACTTCTACATTCGGAAATTTACTTACATAGCGTCCAATTCTTATGCATTTATTTTTCTCACACCCATATTTTAATTTTTACACCATGAACTCCTTAACCTATGTATGAAAAGGTGGATTACACTATTGACACCTTTTCATACATAGGGAAAGGTGCTTAGGGTGTAAAAATCAAAGTATGAGTGTGAGATAAGTAAATGCATAAGAATTTGGTGCTATGCATATAAATTCCCCTTCTACATTTAGCTAAATTTGATAATTCTAGCAAGTTAAGATATCTGTGCGCATAAAGCAATTCACTTGAGAATAGTTCTCTTAACTCTTTTTTGTTAGAGGATTTATGCTTCTTTGTCTATTATTTTTGTTGTTAGTGCCACCAAAAAATATTCTAATTTGTCATCTTTCTAGGGTGCTAGCCCAAATTACGCACAACATTGTTATCATTCGCTCACTCTTAGTAGGGCTGCAAATGAACTAATACACTCAACAAGCTATTCTTGGTTTGGTTCAATTAGAGTTTATTTATGACCATTTAATTAATTAGTTGAATAAGTTTAAAAACTTCTATAAATGCTCTATTGATAAAGGACATTTATGATCATAAACAATATCATTTAAAGCTTTTGAACATGTTAAGAAGTTTGATAAAGGCTTGATAACATACTCATTTAAGATTCAATTGTAAATTTATTTAACCAGTGATCTAAGGGGTTTTGGTGAACTAACTCAAACTCGAGCAAGCTATTACTAGGTTCATCTTGATTCATTTGCAGCCTTAACCTCATGATAATGTTAGATTTTTTTTTGAAGCTAAGTACTCCAAGGCTATTAAGCTTGTTTTTCCATTGGTCAGTCCTGATCCTGTTAAGTTTTAGGGAAATTTACATACATACCACACAATTCTTATGTGTATACATATCTACACCCAAATTTCAATATTCACACTTGTAACACCTTGATGTCATAAACCTATGCCTGAAAATGTGTTTTTTATTTCTTTTAAAAAGATAGTGATGGTGGCTTTTTTTATGTGAAGTTAAATATTTAAGTGGTATTTATCTAAATATTAATGTTTAGGTGTCAGAAATGTAAACCTATAGGAATTGTGTGGTATGTATGTAAATGCCCCGTGCTAATAAATCCAGCCAATTTAAAAGCCCAGTCCTACCTACAAACTAAGTTTTGATGGGGTAGTTGGCAAGTCTAGAGTGGGTAGAAGCTCTGGAGCTTAGCCAGAATTTGTTTGGACTTGTTAGCACATGAAGTTGGCATTTTTATGGCTTCATGTTGATGTTCTTACAAACTTTTGTTAAGTTTCGGTCTACCTTTCTTAAAGATGACCCAATGGTTTTGCTATTGCTAACTCCCCAAGTTCTCATAATTTTGTTAATATTTTGCAAAAAACTCTGTTTGAAATTTTTATATTTCCTCAAATCATGTGTTATAATGGAATATATTGATCATTATTGCATAACGTATGTTCTATTTTATGTTTGAGTGCAGTTATACGCCTCATGGGGATTAATTTGTGTACGGTGGGTGTTGGTGTTCTTACATTATTATGTGGCGCTTATCTGGTAATAATGTTTTTCTCTTTGGTTTTTTTTTATTGGATAAGTACATACATAGCACCCGCAACTTCGCTATTTACAAAATCTTGCATCCATGTGATATTTTTGAGTTACCGAACTGATGTATTTTGACGTGGCACGATCAAGGCATTGAGAATTTAATAAAAATGAACAATATGGGCTGGGGTTTTATCATGAATTTAGATATTTGAATGAGACTTTGAAAAATGGATGAAAGTGAGCGCTAGATTTGTAGATAGCAATGTTTCAAGTGCGATGTGTGTATTTGCCCCTTTTTTATTTATAAATTTATTTGATCTCCTACAAATGCTTTCCATATGCTTGTTGTGAAACTTTCTATTTGTATGATTACAACATGTTTAACACATTTAGGATATGAAATGCATTATTTTTTAGCATAAAGTGGTGAATATTGTAAGGTTAGAAATTGTTTATCTTTTAATGTTGAATCTTAAATTGTCCTTTGTGAACACGCCCTGAGAGTTAGAATCGGACGAGGAGGAATGAGGGACAAAGAGTTTTTTCAGAGAGAACTGGGAGAGGGGTCCCTTTTTTCATCCTTCTTTTATAATATGTTACAATCGCTATAGAAGGGTGGAATTTCTATTAATTTACATAAATTTTTATTTATGAATGATTGCAATGCAATACTATATTGTTCTGATGAAATGTTTTGGTGGGTTCCCTATTTGTAGTCATGGATGAGAGTATCTCAAGGATTTCACACCATGAACCAAGTGCTTGTTGGCGCGGCTTTAGGATGTGCATGCAGTCTCATATGGTTCTGGATGTGGCATTCATTTGTTCTACGAGCATTCGTCGTGTACATCTGGGTCAGGGTATTCGTCGTTCTCGCCTCACTATCTTTCTGTCTCGCCTTCTTATTTTATGTCATTCAGAATTGGCTCTCGGATGAGTGATATCTTGTTTTGTTTCTTAGTAGTTCTTACCAATAATTTTGCAAAATGTACATAACATCCATTATTTATCTAGTTAACATATCTTAACATCTAAATTCCGACTTTCTACACATTTGTATCATCCAAATCTTTCATATTACATAAAAAATATCACTAAGACATCTTTTCATGTATGAGCTTAGAGGTTAGATATATAAATACATAAGTATTGTGTGTGATATATCTAAATCTTTCTTGTTTAAAACATGAGAAAAATTACTTGTTATGAGCCAGGTTTTAAAATTGAGGCTTAGGCGTCAGAATTGGCTTACTTCAAGACATATTATTGATGAATGGATTTTAGATCAAGAATCTTAACATTTATTAATCTCAACTACGGTTGTCAAAACGGCTCTTTGTTTGCGAAGAGCTTGTGTTCGGCTCGCTAAGTAGCTCTTGTTTGATTTATTCGCTAAGTAAACGAGTCGGACACGAACCAAGTTTTGTTCATTCGTGCTCGACTCGTTTTGATTTGAAATAACTATATATATATATAATTTAATTAATTAAAAATTTCAATAAAAAATTTAATTAATTATCCTAGTAATTATAAATTTGAACAGTAAATCTACCTAATTAACTTAATAATTAATCAATTAAGCTCATAATAATTGAAGTAAATACTAATCATTTAATTAATTAACATAACAATTATAATTTCATTAATTAATTAACTTTGAAATATTAATAATTTAATTACTTAACTTAATAATTAAAATTTAATTAATCAACTTAATAATTATAAACTAACTAAATTTTTTAATTTCATTTAATTATTTAATTTACGAACTTAGTAATTATAAATTTTAACAATAAGTCTACCAACTTAACTTAATAATTGATCATTTAAACCCATAGTAATTGAAATAAATATTACTCACTTAATTAATTAAGTAATTAACTTTTAAAATATTAATAATTTAATTAATTAACTTAATAGTTATAAAATTAATTAATTAACTTAATATTTATAAACTTTAATTAATTAATAATTTAATTAATTAACTTAGTAATAATAAATCTACTTAATTTCTTAAAATGTATAATTTTTTTCTTTAAAAGAAATAGAAAATGCACAATCGAACATATTTTATAATTTTTCTTTTTAAAAACATATAAATCATAACGACACCAAATGTGTTTTTTTAAAACATAAAATTGAAAATAAAATAAATTGAAAAAAAAAAAAAAACAGAAAGTGATCCCAAACAGTACCTACATTTGTAACATTTTGGTGCATAAAATTATGCATGAAAAATTGTCTATTTCGGTTTTAAAAATTCAATAATTATGATATATTTTTTTATGTTATGTTAAAATTTGAAGTATTATAAATATAAATATGAAAATTTGTGTTAGATATGTAAAAATATAAGTATTTTGTGCTAAGTATGTAAATGCATCCCTTCTTTTTTTTTTTAAATGTAATTAATTCAATCCACAAAAATATCTGTAGAGAGAGAGAGAGAGAGAGGGAGAGATTCATAGAAACACAAAAGGATAAGGTCATGAAGAAACAAACATTTTTGAATGTTGGTGGGGACACTGAATTTGTGAAGGAGAAAGATAGAGGTTTCTGATCCCTTGGACTATTTTTTCTTGCAAGTTGCTACTACTGAATCTATGGAATTTTTATGTACATACATCCCACACAATTCCCATGTATTTACATATTTAACACCTTAACTTCTTACATTTATACCACCTGAACACATTATGTTAAGTGAGATACACCTTTTTCATGCATTGTTAAGCTGGTATTTACGTAAAAATTGAAGTTAGGTGTTAGATATGTAAATACGTAAAAATTGGGTTTTGGTCTGATCACAATAGCGCACTCTTCCACAAAGAAGGCTCCATTTAAAATAGACAATCCCATTTGATATCTTCACTTATTTTATCTTTCCCCACCACTGATGGTAGGGCTGTAAAAAAAGTTCGTTGTTCTCGAACAGTTCGTGTTCGGTTCGTCAATGAGTTCGTGTTCGACTCGTTCGATAAGCAAACGAGGAACAATTTTTTTTTCAGTCGGCTAATTAGACAAATCAAACACGAACAATGATGTGTTCGTTCGTGTTCGAATCTTTATTGTTTGAAATATAAAATTATTTAAAATAATTATATATAAAAAATTTATGATATTTTAAAAAATTATATTTTATAAATTATAATATATAATAAATTAATGATAATAGTATATTAATATACTATATTAGTAATATACTAATATGGATATTATATATTTATATAATATAAGTTATATAATTAATATAATATATTATTTATATATATTAATATTAGGGATGTCAAACTGGCTCGACGTTCGCGAACAGCTCGTGTTCGGCTCGTTCGTTAAGAAACGAACACGAACAGTTTCAAACAAATTAAATTTCAAACGAACTGAACACGAGCGCAAGCTCTGTTCGTTCGTCACACACAACACAAATTTTAATTTATATATTTTTACATAGTTTACACCTAAACTTTAATTTTTATTTTTGCAACATTCAAATCTTCCATACCAAATTAAATAATATCAGTGTTGAAAACATACAAGTGAAATAATCCTCTTCAATTATAAGTAAATGTTATAAATATAAAAAAAAAATTTAGAAGGTAAATATGTAAATACATTGGAATTGGTATCTATTCATGTAAATCTTCCAAAAAATAAGTATTTGATGAACATGCATGATTTTTAAATGAGGTATGAGTAGTATGGCACCACTAAAGATACAAATGTGAGTCAAATTTGACTTGGTTTGACAATATTAATGCCCAATTGAGTTAGGAAATACAAAATCATCCTCTAAATGAACCATGGAATCTCCCTGAATGTTTGAATGGCTCAAATTTTGACCAAAAAAGGCCTTAAATTATGTCAATTAGTAAAAATGATATGGTTTGTTTATCACCCATGTCCAAACAAAGAGGACGAGAGTTGAAAGCGGGGAAATGAAGACATATAAAGGAACGAAGCAGGAGTATGGGTGTCAGGAATTGAGCTCATATGCTGACTTGATCATAATCTAGCTCGAAAAATTTGGGTTTGTGTTGGTCCAAATAGTTTTTGGGTTGAGTTCGGGTTAAAAATGCTAACCTATTTAATTTGTTGTGGCAGGTTCAGCTTATGCTAGATGGTTTATGAGGGTGGGATTCAAGTTGGGAGGTTGAAGGTTGGATTTTTGACACGCTTATTAATAAAGTCGGGTTCGAGTCTAATGTGTCTCAAATGCAATGAGCATGATGTAAAAATAAGAAGGGGCAACGACATGCTTATCATACTATTCTAATGTTTTTGTATATGTAACACCTAAACTTTTGTATTTATATTTTACAACACTTTAGTGTCATAGAGCTAATGATATTTTGTTATGTAATGCAAAAGATATAAGGGATATGCATGTAAATATGAAAGTTTAGGCAATAGATATGTAAATACAAAAGAATTGTTTGGTGAGCTCAGCTCTTTGAATTCAAGTCTTGTTTGGACATCTCCACATGCCTTCTTATCTTCTTGTTTGTTCTGATTTCATCCCTCCAAGTTTCTTATGGGGCTTTCTCTTTGACCCTTCACCATTTTATTCATCCATTTGGAGTGCAATTAGTGCCATTACATATAGAGATAATACAAATTCTATATTTAGATTTTAAACTCTCTTTGTTTTCATTATTATATTAATGGGGCATTTTCATACATGCTACCTAATTTCTATGTATTTGCATATATGACACGTGAACATTACTTTTTTACATTTATACCGCCACAATCTCTCATATCACATAAAAAAAATGACAACCATTTAAACTTTTAAGAAGTGAATACTCCTTTTCTTGCTTAAAAAAGGTGATATATGCTTAAAATTTGAAATCGAGAAGTTAGATATGTAAATACATTGGAAATTAGTGGTATTTATGTAAATCTTGTTGAGTTGTGGAACCCGATTGTAGGACAAGTAGCAAAGGTTTTTCTTTTGGGCGCGACATGCCTAGGCCCACAGTCATGTGGGAGCGCCTACGCGGGGTTTGCATCGCCCCCACACAGTATTCCAGGAGCCTATGCATCCGGTTCAACAGAGCACTACATTCCCGTGCCAATGAGTATTTTGAAAATTTCGACAGTTGGCTCACTGAGTCGGTTTAAAGGCTTTGTTCTGGTGGTCTCTTGCATGTATTCGACGGGGGTTCTCGTGATTTAGAGAAATGTCGGAGAAAAGAAGTTCAATATGTTTTTCTCGTGAGATTGAAAGAGGAGATTGGAGCAAAGTCATGTAAGTTTCATCGATTGTATAGGAGATCAAAATGAGTATTATATACATTTTAGAACTTTATAGTAAAATTTTTTTAGTAATGTGATTTCGTAATTTTTTGTCGTTCTTTAGTGTTGCCACATTAATTTCTATCGTATTTTTCTGAAATATTTAATTATGTTTTGGTCCACATATTTTATTGTAATTTTATTGTGCAAAAAATTTTTCTATATTAAAATAGAAAAGACAACTTGTAAGGCACATTTCGAAATTGTCAGGTGGAGTCAGTCCACACTAAGGGTCCGTTTGGGGCGGCAGATCGGTAGCAGTGCTACACTGCATCACAGTTTCGTCTGTTTGGGTAAATTGCGCTTTAACAACTTTTTTAAAAAACTGCCGTTGAAATCTATGTTTTTCCACTGATTCTAGCTTGGTGCAGTGACAACTTTTTAGCTACAGTCTGACTTTAAAACAAAAAAAAGAATTTTAATTGTCACTGCAGTTTTTTGAACATCAAATTATTTTTTTACAGCTTCACAATTACTTTTTATAATTAAATTTTAATAATTGCATGTTTCTTATAAGTTTTGCATTTTTCTTTCTTGTAACATATGATCCTTGCACAAGACAAATGGATTCCCTTTCCATTGCTCATTATTTAATAATAGACCAACTCAAAAAGGAGTAATGTCATATCATCAACAGTGGTTCTTAGCTAAATAAAATACTTAATTTTTTTATCTACTAAATTGATGTATTTACGCTTGCCACCATCAAACTATTGAGAATTTGACGAAAGTGAACAATATATTCGAAAAACAAATGAAAGGGTATTATTGTAAATTACAAAATTTGGGTGGTTTGTATGAAATTGCCCCCATTTGTCTTTAGGTTGCATGCTCCCATTTGGCTTTAAAGTATTTATGAAGTCAGATCCTCACCCATTCAACACTATTACCATTGGGTTCATAAAAGAATGTCATGAGATAAAATAAAATAAAAAAGATGAAATATTTGCATATATGCCATACAATTATTATGTATTTACATATCTAACACACATACTTTCATTTTTATATATATGTCAACTTGGCTATGTATGAAAAAGATGTATTTCTTTCAAGAAAAAATGTGTATTCACTAGGGCTGTAAACGAGCCGAGCTTGAGCGAGCTCAGGCTAGGCTAGTGTTCGGCTCGTTCGAAATTGTTCGTGTATGAAATTGACTTATGTTCGAAACAGGCTCGTGAACAGTGTGTTAGTGTTCGGCTCGATTTAAATATTTGTGTTCGTGTTCGGCTCAAAATTGACTCGTTAAAATTAAACTGAAAAAATAAAAGTAAAGTGTTGGATTCAAAACTGGACCAAATGAATGCAAAAGAAGGCGCATAACCACCTTACCAAACGAGCAGTTACGTTTTAGGAATGCAAAAGAAGACACATAACCACCTTACCAAACAAGCAGTTACATTTTAGACTTAGATATAAATATATATAGTATATTATTATATAAATAATCATATATATTTTTTATTTCGAGCTAAAATGAGCCGAACACGATCGAGCAAATAGGTGTTCGGCTCGTTTATAATTCGAGCTTTAAAAACTTGTTCGTGTTCGACTCGTTTACTTAACGAACGAGCCGAACACGAGCTACTTAACGACCCGAACACGAGTTATTCGCGAACAACGAGCTTTTTTGACAACCCTAGTAATCACATTTAAAAATATTAAAATATAATTATTTTTTATAAGATATGAAAATTTTGGGTGGCGTAAATTTGAAAATAACTTTAGAAAGTGATGTTTTGATGTGATATGGAAGATTTTGGCGGTATAAATATAAAAAATAAAGTTTCAATGCTATATATGTAATACATAGAAAAGTCCGTGATATTTACTTAAAAAATAATTAAAAAATAATAAAAATCAATGTATGAACATCATATCATCATTTTATGTAATGTAATAGCTTATGAATGATAGCATGCAATATGCCAAGAAAAATGGGTTTTTTTGCAAATAGAGGCGGCTGAAAAAGTTGAACAAAACAAATCTGAAAATTGCATTAAAAAAATGCAAAAAAAGGGCAAAAAGATTCAGCTTGAAGCCATGGAATCCAAAATCAAAATAGGAACAAAAAATAATGGCCAAAATCAGCACTAATGTGAGGGATTAAATCACATATTAGTGGTTATAAGTAACATCAAATGATCATGATTGCATGGGGCAGCCATACATGTCTTTTAAAGATGCCCGTTGCTTTCAACTTGATATAAAACAGTAGGAAGGAATTTAAAAACTGGGCTTGAAAACGACCAATTCCTTATCACAATAGAAATAAATCCATGGTTTAGCTTGTGTTGGTTTTGGTGGTGTTTGTATTGATTCGTGTTTTGTTCTGTTTGAAAAATTTAATTTTGAAAGTGTTGTGAGTTGGCGACGTGGGGGAGTCTATACAGGCGGGGAGGCGCTGCAGTTATCGGCACGGACCGCCTATGAGGGCACGGGAGAGCTGTTCTGCCTGGGAGCGCTGCACCGTATGAGCGCGGTTGAGCCTATAGCAGCGCGGGCTCACCCATACTGGTGCGAGCGTTCCACATCCAAAAGCATGATGCAGGCCGAACGTGCGAATCAAATGATGCAGTATAAGATGCAGTTTGAAAATTCAGCCGAAAGAGAGCCGAAATGAATGCCACCTTAATCTTATTGTATTCAATCCTCCTCTTCTTACACCTGAAGTAAAACCCAATAAGAAAAATAATAGAGATTATTTTCAATATATTATTTGAACTTCACCCAACAAAAAGAAAGATTTACATGTATTTTACTTAAAAAAAGCTAAAATGATGTGAAAAGGAGCGAAGTTTGTGTGAGAGATGTAAATACATAAGAATTGGGAGGTATGGATGTAAATTCCCCCCAAAAGGATAAGTAAGATTTATGTGAAATATGAAAAGGGCATGCAAATCTATCATGCGACAACTCTGAAGAAGATAACGTGGAGTTGAATCTCTGTTTGATTGGACTGTGCAAGTGGCAGCCATGGACCTTTGCTGTCTATAGATTTTATTTCACAATATTGATGATAATTTTCAATATTTTAATTCATTGGAGGAAGCCCACACCAAACACACTCTGGAACGCAAGGACAAAATTAAAAGAAAAAAAAATGATGCAATTAATCATGGAACAGCTCACCTGATCTGGAACAGCGACTGGTTAAATTTAAAAATGCCAGCTTGATAGCAGACAAATGGGAGGAGAAAGAAAGGAGGGAGTAATACAAGGAGAGGTGTTTCAGGTGAAGAAGATGAAGACAGCAGAGCACGGAGCAGTGCTGAAAGATAGAGGCATGGAAAATATGCAGAGAAGCTTCCTGACATGGACCAGAAACTTACATGAATGTAGGTGTTGAATGCTGGCTTGTCCGTGAATCAAACCTAAAGGAATAGAGTGGGGAGAGAGAGGGAGAGAGAGAGAGAGATCAGTAATGAGCAGCCTGTAATACCTGTCAATGGTGTTGTTGTTTCCCATCTTTTATTTGGCTGATTTGACTATCTCTTGTTCATTAAATGATTTCTCTTTTTATAGAGAACAAAGTAAAATATGCGTTGTTATATTTTTTTTCTTTGCTTTAATAAATGCTGTATATGATATTCTTGGTATTTTACAGAAATGAGCATATTGCTCGGTCGGTCTCTGGCTCAATCGGCTGAGCTTCTTTGGCTTTGGCTTGATAGAACCGGTAAGGTCGGCTAGATGTAGTATGCTGAACTTAATTGACTTTGAGTCGATATGCCCGATTCGATTGGCTGAATTTTTCTAGACATTGACTCTTGATAAGAAATGAGAGAGTTTCTGGACATCCTGATTAGGATTGGAGATGCTGAGGAGTTAGGTCTTCCTATAGGTCGACTTTTTCATGCCGGTTGGCTTGGAAGTCTGTTTGTCTCGCTTTTGATCGAATGATTTGGAATGACTTGGATTTGAACCATTCGGTCATCATTCATGACTAGATCGGCTTTGGCCTTATTGGTTTTTGGGTTGGAAGTCTGCACTTTGTCGGATAAGTGAGCCTAATGATCTTCTATCAATGGTGTCTCCTTCGTCGTACCCTTCTCCTCTGTACCGTCAGAACTCCTCAGTATCAACACTGACATATTTTAGATGTACGATAAGATTACAAGCCAACAAATGCAGGGGACTTAACAATGTGTCATTTTCGGATAATGATAAGATAATCTTTTAATGGTGATCTTCTTGGAGGCTTTAGCTCTCTTCTGAAATGCGCTTTTGAGCAAAGATGCAATTGCTTGTATTTTGGTGTTCACTTCTAAGTCACTATTGATAGGAGCACCTCTGATTACTTAAATGGAAGATTTACACACATACCACTCAATTCCTACTTATTTACATATATGTCACCAAAACTTTAAATTTTAAAAATATGCATGAAAAGAAGTTAAAATAATGATTTTTTTTTAATGTGATATTAAGGTTTTGGGGGGTATAAATGTAAAAAATAAAAGTTTACACTTGATATTTATACATATTGATGACATGCTTGCATTTGCAAACATTATTTCTATGCTTGCATTTGCAAACAAATATATAAAAGGTATGTTAATTACAGTATAAATGAAGCTTGATTAACAAAATATGTTTCTACTGTTGCTTCCTTGTTGCCATCCTTAATTGCAAGTTAATAAACACACCCCTCAAATATTTGGGCCTTCCTGTCTCCCCCAACAAAACTCTTTTCCTGGAAAAATTACATAAGCTTTTATCTCTAATTAGTTGATTTGGACTGATCAAGATCACAATCTGGACCCATATTACCTATTGATAAAAGTGTTAAAATGATCCATAACTTTCTCGAAACTATTTCAGGACATCTCTTGGGCTCATCTGCAATTGCCAACATTAAAATGTGGTTTGAGATTTCAACTGTATTTGTGCTTAATTCTGCAGGCAAAATGAATTACTTCATTGGGTCATGGATGAAAGCTTGCAATGGACCTATTCTGAATTATGTTGTTGGTAAAAATTGAATTTTTGGTGTTAGATATGTAAATACATGGAAGTAAGTGGTATGTATGTACATATTCCTCTCAAAAAAAGAAATCATATGTTTAAAAAATCATGTGTTTAAAACTAATCAAAGTGAAGGAGAGTAAGGCTGAGGACCACAAGCCTGGTCTTCTATCTTCGCTATCTGCATAACTGTAACAACATCAATAATGTAATGTAATTCCCACAATTATAATAAATCAAAAGTCCAGTTTCTTGTCTGGTTCGCCTGCTTCCATTTCAGAGAATGATAAGAACAGCTTAGGGAACCAGCAGCAAGAAACCATATGCTTGAATACAGCCAAAAAGAGAGAGAGAGAGAGAGAGAGATAAGAAGAGACAAGCAAATAGATGCCAACTATGTGCAAGTTGTCCAACAATGACAGCAAATATTGATAAACAAGAGAAATATTCCACAAAGGTCAAGTCTTGGAGGATTTACAGAACCCCTCACCCTTTCTACTCCTCAAAGAACACAACTTTTTCATTTTTTTTAACAAACCAACACAATAATAAAACATATAATTAACCATTAAGAGAAACCAATCAAAGAAAAAACGGAAAAAAATTCAACCTTTAATCATAAATCACTCCCACCATTTACTTTCCTCTTTGGTTTTTCACAAAGTTTTTGAATGAACTTATGCAGATTCAGTGTTGCTCTTAGTCTTCGATCTGTAGAGGAGCTTCTTCTTCTTCGTCGTGGCATTGTCAATGCTTAGAACAATCTTTCCTGGCTCACCCACCTTGAAGCTGCTTTTTACGTAGGGTTCATCGGCGACAGAGAACTTCCGTGCCTTCTGCACCAGCACTGTGTAACCTTCCTCTGATGTTGGAACGAACTCCGCACTGTAACTCACATCCCATCCTAATACTCGGAGCTCCCATATGATAAGGGATGGCTGTTGAAAATTCAACAAAGAATTTTAAAAGAAAGTTCAGAGAGTTGCAGGGGGAAGAAGAGAGGAGAGGATGATTCACCTCAGTAGAAGGCAACTCAATAACGTGTTTGCTTGAGGGCTTAATGATGACCTCAGTAACAGCATCAGAAGAAGTGAAATCTGTATCATTTTCTTTGCTAAGACCTCCATATTGAACTGGAACGTATTCTGGGGCTATGTACCTAAACAATTTCATGCAACAAAAATGCTTGAGAAACTCTGCCAGGAAAATAAATTGAAAGGGAATGAGAGAACTAAGTGCAATACATAGCACCCAATTCCTATGTATTTAAACATCCAACACTCGAAACTTTGCCTTTTTTACATTTCTATAACCCAAATCTCTCATATCACATCAGAAAGGCCATTACTTCAAAAATAAAAAATAAAAAAAAGAAATCCGCCTTTCATGCATAGGTTATGGAGGTATGTCACATCAGAAAGGCCATTACTTCAAAAATAAAAAAACCGCCTTTCATGCATAGGTTATGGAGGTATGTGTAACAAATGAAGTTTAGGTCTTAGATATGTAAATAGAAAGAAACTGAGTGGTATGTATGTAAATCAGGACAAACATTAGCAATCTAACAGATTTGAAGAATCTGAATTTTGAAATGAGCGATTTTGAAACACAGTTTTTGTCCCACATAGCTAAATTCTTCTTTCTTTACATATGCAAACACATAAATATCTTCCTTCAAAAAAGAAAATCAGATCTTTATAATTGGAGCTTATTCTAGACGGATTGCAGGTCACGATAGAAGCCTAAAAGAGCTCAATTTGGCTGCGAAGAAGAGAAGGGATTTGTAACCTGAATATGGTTTCTGCAGATTTGGAAGGACCAGCGAAAACAAACTTGCTCTTACTCCTCTGTGTAAAGAACGGACTAATCACTCGGTTATATGCAAGGTACCACCATGGAACATTTATAAACACCTACAAAGCAAATTAAAGTAACAAATTTCCTTAATTTAGCATAAATAAACTATAATCAATGCAGAATATGATAAAATGCAGTATTGAACAAGAAAATACTCCAATTTTGGAGAAACTATGAGGTGAGAAAAGGAGGTCTTAATAAATTCACCCAACTTTACTGTAAAAAAAGCCATGAAAGGAGAGAATTTGCACAAACCTGCTTGGCCACAAACTCAGGATAGTTATCCTGGAGTAGAGCTAAAGCCTTCTTGGTGGCCTGCCGGAGCTCCTTCTTTCCTGGTCCTGGGACGTTCTTAAGATCAGTGATCTGCACCATGGTGCAAACTCCTTTGGGACTAAAGTCCAGTTGCTGCCTAATCCCTTTCTCAAGGAACTGAATTCTCCACCTCAAAAACTTCTCCCTCTTCTCTTCGTCCCCAAAGGCCTTCGCATAGAGCTCCGGGTCCTGAAACTCTCCATAAACATTATAGCAAACAGGATGACCTTCCTTATCCTGTCCATGGTAGAACACCACCTTCTCCAGCTCCGGAACCTCAAGGTCCTCCTCCAGCAGACTCTCGATCCCAAACTGCTTCCTCCAAATCACAGCGTTCTTGATCATGGCGAGAGCATCCTTCACCTTGAAATCCCTAGCCCTGAGAAACTTCAGCAGAACAGTATCACTCTTTTCGTCCCCAACAAGAGGAACCCCCCAGATGAACTCCTCCGCTGGAGTAACCACCGGCGGGGCTTCAACAGACGCCGCAGCTTCAGGCTCTTTAATGGGTTCTTTATCAGTCCCCGTTTCTGCCGTCGGAGCCACCGCTTCAACGACAGGTGCAGGTGGGGTTACAGGTACAACGGTCTCCTCGATAGCCTCCACAGTCTTCGCTCCATCATCGTCAACCACCACTGTCTTAATCTCCACCGATTCTACTACTTTCGGCGCATCTGAAGGTGCGACGGCCGGCTCTTCAGAAGTGTGGGCGGCGGTTTCTTCCGCCTTGTGCTCCGCCGGCGCGGTAACCTCAGCTTTCTCCTGAGCAGCAGACGTCTGTTCTGCGGCTGCGGGTTCCTCCACCTTGGCCTCGGAGGCAGGGGGCTCCTCGGATTTAGGGGGAGGAGGAGGCGGCGGTGGTGGTGGATTAAACTCGTTATTAGAAAGAGCTGCTTGAACAAGCTGCTTGAGCTCATCAAGGGCTTTCTTTTCGGGCTCCGGGAGATCGCCGACGAGATTGCTCTCCTCCTTGAACGAAACTGACTGCTGAGACTGCTGAATCGGACCCTCTGCATCCGCCGCCGCAGCAGGGGCCGGCGCTGCAGCCTCCGAAGTTTCCTTCTCCACGGCCACCGCGGCCGGAGCCTCCTCCGTGGGCTTCTTCGTCTCCTCCTCCGTCACCTTAGCAGCCACCACCGGCGGATCTTTTTCCCCTGTTTTCGCCTCTGAAACCACCACCCCTTCCGCCGGCGACGAATCCGAAGCCTTCTTCTCTGTTTCCTCCGCCATGACTGAAAATCTCAAGAGAGGAAGGGATAGAGAGGGAGGGAGCGAGATGGGGAAGACTAGAGAGAGAAGGGATTAGGTTAGAGAGGAGAGGGAGATTTTTATATAGAAGAAAGGTGCGCGGAAGAGGTGGGTACAGTGAAAGAGGATAAACAAAGAAGACCAGTCTGTCAGAAGGAGAAGGCCAGCGGTGTTCGCCATTAATGGGCCCCACCGTGCTGAATTTTCTAAAATTAATATTCGAATAATATTCATTATTACGGCGTGTTATTAAAAAATAAATAAATAAAATAGTCACTATTAGTTTTTTTTTTTTAAATGACATTTAATAATTTTTCATAAAAACTATTTCCATTTAAATTTAAAAAGATTGGAAATTATTTTATTATTTTTATAAATTTTAATATTGAAAAAAACTTTTTAATATTTATTACAGATAATTATAATTATTTGAAGAAGCTTTTGCGTTTTGAAAATGCACCTGAACTATTTGGGTAAACTGCGTTTTGGCAGCTTATATATTTTTAAAAAGTTAAAAACAGTGTTTTCACCCGCACCTATATAGGTGCGATGACAGTTTTCTGGCAGCGGTATGACTTTTTCAAAAAAAAAAATACAAATTTGTAATAGCCGCCGCACCTAGCTTATCAACAGATTATTTTTAATCAGTTTATCAGTAGATTATTCAATAAGCAACAGCTGCCCCAAAGAGACCCTCAGGCATTTGAGGAGGCCGTAAAGCTCCGTTCGGTCCGATAAAACACCATCTACTGTAAAAAATTTCATTCGGTGAAACAAAAACTCGTGAAATTCTTTCGCAAAAACAATAAATTTTCGTCTTTTCAGATGCAGCTCGTGTCAACCAGAACACCTGGCGCAGGCATTTGGCAAATATCAACCCCCCTTTTTTTTAATTTATTTTTTAATTGAATAAATAATATTTAAATAGCCGAAGCTGAATTAATTAAATGATCAAAGTACAGCATTGATTAGCAGATAAGGTTTTAATAACTAATATCATTAAGAAATAATTAACGAGTCAAAATAAATAATTAATTAAAAATGTATTTTTAAGCTTATCACCTATCTTGAATCGACCATTTCAATACATATGTGGGTACATGGAGGATAAATCCAAGGAGAATAATAAAGGTATTTGTTTTAAATGCCAATTCTAGTTTATGAATTAATTGCTAATTATTATGGTTAAATTTGCTCTAATCTCAGTGTTTTAGGGTTAAGTAGATGTGATGGATTGATTAATGGGGTTGTTAATTTGAGTGAATCAAAACTAATTGTGGATGGAAAGGGAAACCAAATTGAGATATATTTTTTAATGAAATTTGGGATTTGCATTGAATGACTTTAAATGAATTGGTTGGTAGATTTGTTAAAACAATTCAAATGA